CGTTGGTTTCCTACTAGCGCTTCTCATTGAAATTTGCTTTGAACACAGTGAAACGGGGTCTTTTGATCTGTCGCAGTTTCTTTAACTGACCTTTTTTTACTTCCATAACAACGCGGTTGATTACTCCAGAGTTCTTCGTTCTGAAATTCGAATCTAAACCGTGTTCGTTGCCCATTCTCCATGGCCCCTACGCAACTTTTTCTTTACCGCTTTGCCATGAACTAGCAGAACAGTGACAAAGCATTGAACTGCAACTGTAGTAAATCTCATTTCTGTGAATTTCGTCAATTTTGTTAATATCTACGGTTAGAATGGTTTGATAAATACAAGTATGAGGTTCTAAGTCGTTGCTTTTGAATAACATGCCTTCATGTCTTCAAATTTTCTTGAGTTACTGGGGCTGACATCGGTTACACTCATTGTGCTTATTAGAATGCGCTCTATGTGGCTAAATTTAAGCAATGCTTTAATATTCACTTTAACCTCTGCTGTGTTTCTTTTGGTATTATGCTATTTAATCTGTAGTTATTGTGTTGAATATATGTGTTTAGGGTTATACGTCGAATGGTGGATCTTTTAAGCCGTGAAGCGAATCTTATGGCGTCGGCGGAAGCTTCCATGAGGCAAGCCCAAAGTGCCACGGTGGCTGCTCATTCGTTAATGAAGGAAAAGGTATTTGTTTTTTACACTGTTCTCTGGCCCTACATCGATTGTCATCTTTTTGTAATGTTATTTAGGGGTCGACAGAGAAATCAGAGTCAACAGAAGCGGATGAGCATGATGCTGGAGAGACAGAATTGAAACGCCAGATTAAGGCACTGAAGCAAGGTAATATCTTGGAAACCATTTTCGCGCGTCTGTGGCTATTTTTATCAGGCATTTGAAACAATTGTCAGTCCATGCCCACAGTTGAATCCAAAAGTCATTCACTACAATAATAACGACGCATGCTTGCGACGCAGATTAGATGTTAACTTTGGACTGGGTCATTTAGTTACGGTTGCCGTATATGGTGAACAGAGACATGAGTAGAAGAGGCACTTTTTGGCAAGCATGCTGACCAAGGACAACGTCTGGACTGTCATTGTAGCTGACATTCTGCCTATTTGGTGGAGCTGTTACCCTGCTATGCTTGAAGAGTTTCACAAAAAAGTACCAAGATCAGAAGAAAGTCGGGCATGAGTCTGCGATTCTCAGAGCTTGTAGCAGTATTCACAGCGCTTGCCGTAGAGCTGCAACTACTTACAAGGATTGTTAGCATCTGGAGCAAAGCCTTTGGTCTCAAATTCAGCACTCATACAGAAGCTTGAGTAATGAAGGTGACCGGAAGTCTCATTGTACTTCGAATGAGCGTGGACGGCATTGAATGATAGTACTTCATTTCTTTCCATTTTATAGTAAAATATACGCTGCGAGATGGAGATTAACTGATGTCTAAGAACTGTGTAAGTTTGCATGATAAGCTGAACGGAATATGTCATAATCGCAGTATTAGAAAATTCATGAAGCTAAGACTTGTCAAATCTTTAATCTTGTATCCAGCAAGCAAGGGAGGCGAAGGTTAAACGACGAGGTAGGCAGAAGGAAAATCAGTGGAAGCGTTTGAGATTTGGTATTACACACGACTAATGTCAATTTTCTCTAATAGTCTGAAAACATTCCGATGATTGAGCTTTCAAATCAACTTCACATTTAAAGTTTGCTTCTGAAACACGTTTCACAGTAAGAATTGTGGTATCTGGGTTATATCGTAAGAAAGAACTGGAACGCTGAAGAATATGGTGCTGCTATGCTTCACCTCAAAAATCGAGATCGAGAGAAGGATCAAGACGCTGATGGAAATAGGAAGTCGAGAATTGGTGCAACTGAACATCATCCGTGTTTCATAATTCACGCAAAACCAGAAAATATTGCCTGCGATCACTCATCGTTCCGTCTACTTTCTGAACAGTGAATGATAACTGATGATGAATTTGGCAGCCTTTGTCAAGCCCTGACCTGTCTACTTTTTCAGCACATGACTGGCTGGGAAAAGTTGTTCAAACGGTCGATGACTTTTCTAATCCAAGAGTAACGCAGGTAGAAAATCACTTGGCCCCAGACCGTTCCCAGTGTCATTTTAATGCTGTAGCAGTTGACTTAGATACTGTTGACCAACGCTTCATATGGCCTGTCCGTCTACCCTTTTTGCTACGTTCTTGTTTGCACTTGTCCAGCAGCAAAAACGAATAAGTAACCGTTGAAGCTATTGCGTTGTAAGGCACATCTAAATGAGGTGGGTGGCGTAGTTGCACGAACAACCCCTCTGGTACTCGCATTCAAGTGTCACACACCAACCTTTGATTAATTGTTACAAGCTTCACCAGTAAGATCGAACGAAATGAGTTGGAAACTGTGGCCAGATGAGCAATTATGAATTTTTCTTTCAACAGTGTTAAGGCAGAATATGTCGTGAATTCAAATTTAGGTACTGTACAGGTGTACGTTTTTACAAATAATTGCTTCTTATGTTCTGGTGGTTAGGGCATACTGCAGCTGTAACACGTTGTCTTCAGTCTTAATTTGCAGCCTCACTACAATACGACCGTAACATGACACTTTTTAGGATATAGCTAAACGTAGGTTGGTTAAGCTCATCATCCATTTGTTAGTAGCGAGAAGGTACGGCGAATTCTTTGTTTAGTGCATATGACCATTAATAAGAAAGATGCTCCTCATTCCATCTTTGGCATATAAACCTTATCTAATGCGTTATTATTGAACTTCTCCAGATTCAGGAGCGTAAAGGATCGTTCGCATGTCATACTCAGTGAATTTCTCGTTTATTCAAGCGGAGACTTTGCTTCGACGGCAGAATATTTCAGCCTAGTTAAAATAAAGCAGCGAATACATCCCGCACGAGGACACGGGACACCTTGTGACTTCTATAATTTATTCTGGGATTTTGCAAAAATTGCCGAAGGTGTAACAGGAACTCGCCATTCAGCTTGAACTTTTGAAGAGCATTTAGCTGACCTCTATTTAATCTGGTACTTTGT